ATGCTCTATCTCTGAGCCAAACCGGTTTCAGCCAATTCTTGTTCTTAAAGGCCCTGACATTTGGGGGTCTGTTAACACAGCCTACAATAGCCTGATACAGTTATCAACCTCGAGTTCACATGTTCTAAGAAAGAACCCCAGTTACTGTGGCCTATGTTCCAAAGAGCCTTCAAGACTGGGGTAAAGCAGGGAGTTGCATTGTAACTCCGTGTCATTGGCTTCAAAAGCTACAGGTTTTGCTCCCACCGAGGATGTGCAGACCAACTTCATGTGGCCGAGACACTGCAAAATGGTTTATTTTTCACTATATAGGCCAGTGTGTATTCTGAGCCAGCTTTTCTGGGGTAGGGAAGCTCAGTGGTATGACATTTGATCATGTTCTTTTTATTATACATATACATCCCTCTACTGTTTTTCAGAAGTGAGCATTTTAATCTCCATTGTTTTAGTCCCCAGGGGTTTTTGTATCACCTCTCCTCCTTTGTGCTTTCCACTGCCATAGTGCCAGGGAGGTTGGAGTGCACACCAGTTGTCTCGCTGCCATCCGCTCCAGCCTGGCCACCCCAGACCTCAGGACAGAGGGAGACCAGGGAGGTGAGAGCAGTGAGATTCTATGGTCAACACAAGGAGCTGGGACGAGGAGCCCTTTAGCGGCCCCTCCTTGGTTCCGTGCGCCTTCCAGAGCAGTTAGAGGCACGAGGTGTGGGCTTCACCCAGTCAGGGAGAAGGGGATAAAGAGGAAAAATAAACAGACTGGATGGGAGATGGACACAGAAGAGAAAATTTCTAACAGTAATATTTTTCACTGCCTAGGCAAATAACTCTTGTGAAAACAGTTACATAAAAGCGATAGATGGTTTTGTTTTTACTTAGCACTCTCAGAGGTTTTGAGACAAATGGAAATTTACATAAAATGAAAACACACAGGATCAAGGATTATGTACAATTCTGTGATTAAGGTGCTTTGCAATTCAGGCAACGTTCTGCTAGAAACTCCTATTTTGGTTCCAGCTGCTGCAGATACTATTGGAGGAGGCAAAGAGTAAACACATGAGTGAAGAGAAAAATAATTCCGTACAGGGGGCTAAATAATCAAGACTATTACAAGGAATATAAATAATAAATTTATAATGTATTTCAGTACAAATAAGCATTTTCATTATAAAAACTGCATTTGCACAAAGAAGCTATTTGTAACAAACACAATTACACTATATTGGAAACAAGTCAAAGCTGTATGTCTCACACAGACTAGTACAATGTCACAGTTCACATGAAACTTTACTGAGAATAAGCCTTCATCTGAAGGCCAAGTCCTGGTCTGAAGCTGTCACAGCCTTTCCACTGAACCTCCTGGTTCAGGAAAGCTGTTCACAAGCTGTTGAAGATTCATCAGACTTGATGACTCCATGTTGGTTTTGCAAGACAAACTGTAATCTCAGGAGAACCAAAATGTAGGACTGAGGTAAAGATATACTAAACAAAGAACTTTTCTGTTGGCACAAAGGATGTGAATTCTTTCCAAAATGTTGTTATATTTAACAGAATAGGTGTACCACATATTTATAACACTGGCAGAAATAACACTTTGATGCAGAGATAAAGGGCAGACAGATATTGATACATTAGCAAAAGCACTAATCTCCTTTCTCTCTCTCACTTCATGCCAATTTAAGTGCTGAAATCTCAGGTGTACCCAAGCTTGTCTACCTTTTATTGACTCTTTAATGTTTCCCATCCTTCACTCTTGATTCAAAAATACAGTACTTGCCCTGAAAGACATTTTGATTATCTACTCCTAAGTTACAGGATGCAGGCTCTGCAGGCTTCCATATATCCAAATCATGTAGCAACTCCAGAGCTATCAATGAGTTTGGGCCATAAATAAATAAAAACGTGGCTTTCTCCAGTGTCAAAAGCCAACCTGGTCAATGCTTGTTTGCTTATATTGAAAGAAATCAATATAAGATCGCTAAGCAGGTTGGGTAGTGCAACAGACCTAGCAAGATATGTAATAAAGGAAACTAAGAAAAAGGTAGGTAGAAGGTGCCTCATTGATGAAAAGGCACCTGCTTCAACTACTCAGTTACTTTTAATTCACCTAATTTTGATTTATACAAAATACTATTGTGTAAGTAAATAAGTGATATTACAATATAGGAAAGCAAGGTTAATGTTTACTTTCTAAATGAAAATCATGTTTCCATGCACATGGCTCCTGGAATAAATATAATATCCTTAAAATTCTATTAAAATGCTAATTTCAAATTATTTTAGTTTGACTTTTTTCCTTTAGTTTTACTTTCAGTCATACTGAAAACAACCTAAAGGCCTCAGGTGGAAAGAAATGGAAAAAAAAAAAAAAAAAAAAGAAGAAAAAAAAGAAAAGCAGGAAAAAAATGATTCTTATAGCCAGACTTTTAAACTTCTAATGAATTTTCTTCCCCAAGATGCTTTTCTTTGCTCATTACATTTTTTTAAAGTATTGCTGAGAAAGAAAAATAAAATAAAATAAAAAATAAAAATAAAAAAATATATACACACACACACACCACTGTTTGGGGTACAACTGGAAATTGGTCTTACATTTCTAAAAAGTCAAAGTAGATTTCTTCATTCCCTCCCCTCTATCAAATATTCCACTTTAAAAATAAATGATTGTATTACAAAGGAGGGGAGAAAAAAGCCAAACTGAATACAGAAAAGCCAAACTGAATCCTGGTACAGAAAAGCCAAACTGAATCCTTTCTTAGTCTGTAGCTCTGAACTTGAGCTTAATGATCTTTGAAAACTCAATTCAGCTGATTATAAGAGAAAGAAATCCAGAGCCGGGAGGGCACGCCCAGCTCAGCAATGATCCAGAAAAGCTTTCCAGGATCAGGGAGATGAAGCCGCAACCATCAGATCAACAGCGCTCTGAGATAAGATGTGTCAGAGACCTGCCTTAAGGAAGGAAAGAAGATGAGCAAATTCAAGATTTTCCTAGCCCCTCAGTTATCTGGTGGCCTCTAACTTGAGGTCCTGTTGCTGTCTGAAGAGAAAAACTATTATTGGTGACTCTTGCTTTGAGGGGTGGAGAGAGTTGTCAAACCATTTTATGAGGGTCTTTGGAAGAGGGTTGAAGGGCTGGGAGGACAATGAGATCCGATGTCCTTGGTCTGGTCAGTATCTCCCAGCTTCACAGCCGCCAAAAGCTGGTGACTCTTATTTTTGGGGGTAATCCTCACCTGAGAATATTTTTCTATTGACTTTTAGAGAAAGTGGGGAGGGGAAAAGACAGAGAAACACATCCATGTGAGAGACACAACCATTGGCTGCCTCCCACAAGAGCCCTGTCTAGGAAGCCTACAACCGAGGTACAGGCCCTTGACCAAAATTGAACCTGTGACCCTTCAGTCTATGAGCTGACACTCTATCCACTGAGCCAAACCGGCTAGGGCAAAAATCTGGTGACTCTCATGCTGCAGGATGAGGCTGTCAGGTAACTGAATTGGAAAGATGAAAAATAACCATCTCTAAAAATTAGATTCTGGCAGAATAAAAACCCCCTTTGTGTGAGTTTGCAACAGGCTCATTCAAGCACAGAAAGAGAGCAAGTTTCAGAACCGCTCTCTCCCGCCAGTGATCCCGTGTTCAAAGTTAATGGAAGAAAAGGGTTATCTAAACAGCCAGATAAGAGTACACTGCATATTTCTTTTTTAAAATGACAGAAACTTTTAAATTTCATAAGCCTGCACTACTTATTATTCTGTCTGGACTCAAGGGGTATAGAATCAACTTTAGTCATCTTTCATAAGCTTGGAATCTAATTTTATGAATTTACTTTAAAACATAAATCAGAGGTAAGACAGAAGTAGATGGATGGATTTTTTAAAAAGAAACTGGGCCTCTTGGGTACTTTTAGTAGATTGAGCACTGAGAGATTTACAGGGATAAAATTCTTTACAAGATTAAGAAAGAAGGAAATGAAACCAAATCTTTCATTTCCAGATACTCACTTTCATTAATTCCTTCACCAAAAGCACATCACAGAAGGAGAACCAGAAATATTATTATTAAAGTGGTTCAAGGCCAGGGAACCCCTTGAGATGAAAACAAAACAACACAGTATTCAAGTTTTCTTCACAAGACTACCTTGTACTGACAAGACTTAGGAGACTTCCGGGTTGGGAAAGAATATTGCTGAGGGGACTTTTGGGAAAAAAAATTACTACATTTTGGGGGGGGGGGGAATGTCTCCTGTAAAATCCCTACTGCTTTTTGAATCTCCAAAGGTTACAATGCTGCAATGGAGCTGCTTGGCAGTCAGCTTCCTGAGCTGCGGTTTTTGATTACCTAAACCCTTAAATCCTCTAAACACAGCTGATGTCAGCCCGGTTGCTATCTGGCCCTCTCACTAGGAAGCAATGTGAAATGTGGGGAGCCTGCAGGCCCCGGCAGGAGAGCTGGAAATGGGACAGGTAAGAAATAAGACATAACAATGGAGATTTAGAGTCAAGACAAGTGCCAAGCTTTTTTCTACAATAATCCAGGGCCCTCTCCATTTCTCTAAAAAAAGGGGCCCAGTACTACGGTGCCTGATGTTTGTTATAGTTTGACAAAAGTAACTTCTTAACACAAGGAGAAGCGGAGAAGCAAGACTCCCACTACACACGAGGTTGCTCAGCTGCTTTGCTTTCACTTTATGGGGCCTGTGGCCCTGTCAATGAACAGTCCCCATGAGGGCTGGGCATCCCTACCTCTGGTCAAAACTCTCTCACCCCAAGTAGATGCACGTGTGCCCATCCCCAACCCCTAAGCATATCCTAAGACCACACATCCTGATTGTCATGCGTGAAGGATACTCATTAATACACGTTGGGCTTAATGCCGAGACTACATGACTAAGATGGTTTTTTAAGAGAAGCTTGCTCGGGAAACAATGAGGATTTTGGTTTAGACTGCAGACACGGGAAGCCGCACACTCCTCTCTCCTACGTTCTTGGATACAGTCTGTAAGCCTATGGTCCCTTATCAGCATGCTGACTTTTGCGCTGCCTCAATGTGTCTTCCGTGTCAGATGGACGAGGCTCCTCAGGCTCAGTGGGTCCTCTGTCCTCCAGGGGCTCCCTCGGGGGCTCCTGGTCCTGGGTATCAGTCGTCTCCTCATCTGCACCAGCAGCCAGGTTGTCCTCCTCCTCATCTTCCTCTGGTTCGTCCTCATCACCAAAGTCTTCTTTCTCTTCCTCGTCGTCTACAAGGCTGTCCTTGTTTTCTTCTTCATTTGAGTCATCTTTTTCATCCTCTGCATCCAGCAAACATTCAGCCCTATGAGCCTCCTCTGACTTCCGACTCTGCTCTGTGGAGGGAAGAGAGGGGAACAGCCTCTGAATAAACAAGGATCAATCAGCAATCAATAACTATGTTTGGCTGTGAAATAAAGAAAGGGGCACACGACAGATTTCTCCACCTTGAAGCTATTATTACCCAGGACAGATCTCTGGCTGGCGTCTTAGCCCAGCCCAGGAAGGCAAAGGTTCCCTCAGGCTGTGTGTTTTGTACTTTGTAGAATCTGGCTCAGTGGCCCACTCACTAGCCATGGTAACTTATTCACCATATGACAAGCTGAGCCAATCAGAGTGTGTTAAATATATTTTCTTTTCTCCCAAATTGCTTTAAATTGGCTTTCTGTTACTTTTAAAAATTCTAAGGATTTAATATACCTTCTAACTATTGTCATGTGCAGCATTACAACGTTTCAATCAAGGACATACTGCATATACCACAGCAGTCCCCTAAGAATATAATGGGACTAAAAAATTCCTATTGTAGTCGTCCTGTAGCAGAACAAGGTAATTCTCGTGTGCCGGTGGAGATGCTGGGATAAATGCCTGCTCTGCCACCAGCTGTGTAAAGTAAGACTGCACCATCCTTGTGTGTGCATGTGCACTATGATGTTGCAGAAAAGACCAAATCACACCTAATGATGCATTTCTCATAGCATACTCATCTCATAGCACAGGACTTTATCTATGGCAGTCCCAAAGCATTGAAAACTTCAAAAATTAAAAAGAAACATAGCTTATTTAAACTCCAACATAAAATTCAACAAAGTCTCATAAAAGTCTTTATGCAAAGTTTCAAAAATAGAACTTAAAATATGCAAATCCAGGCTATTTGATCTCAGAAACATGTGAAATAGTACAAAGATTTGGGAAACTTATATTTTGTAATTAAAATAATTTTAATTGATTTCAGAGAGAGGAAGGGAGAGGGAGATACAGAAATATCAAGGATGAAAGAGAATCATCAATTGGTTGCCTCCTGCATACCCCCTTCTGGGTATTTAGCCTGCAACCCCGGCATGTGCCCTGACCATTGGGAATGGAACCAGGACTTCCTGGTTCATAGATAGACGCTCACCAATGAACAACACCAGCCAGGCAGGAAGACTTCTTTCAAAGCACTTAGAATAGTTACAGGCACACAATAAAGTCCTAATAAATGTGAATCCCCCCCACCCCCTGATTAATGAAGGGCATACACTTAAAGGGAAAAATAAATTGCCAAGATGAAAAATTCCTTAATTTAAGAGAGAGAAAAGATAATTTTGTTCAAGTCTAAATAGAGAACGTATTTTAAGGAATTTAGTGGAATTTAGTGGTGGTGGTTTAGTAACCTAGCAAATCAAGGGGAAATCCACAACCTATCTGAGCAGGAAAGGGCACAACACAGAATTCCAAAAACACTCTTATTAACATGAGTTTATCACACTTACCGGAATGTTCAGATTCATGCCTTGGAAATGGCAAATAGAAACAATCTGATATTAATACCAAAACCTGGAGGGGGAAAATGTTATTTTATAGTGAGTAGGTAGGACATTTATTTCCAAAGAGTCTTAAAATTAAACCTTGTTTCTAAAAGTCCTCAAAACAGAAAAGGGTATATGTAAGAATTTCCTATTTATTTAAATGTGATACCGTATAGGGAAATGCTAATATTTGAGAACAGGGGTCACAAAGGCAAATGCCTAAGAGAGCCCACTAAAAATAAATCAAGTGGGTATAAGAAAATAGACACTATCAGCCAAGTCTAAACTGGCCTTTAAAAAAACTTTCTTCTGGAAAAACCGAACTGGTCTGTACATGGGCTCCCCTTCACCATAAACAGTAATAATACTTCCTACACCGATATCTTCAGTTATCCTAAAATTTTAAAGAACTCAAAGTTATGGCCCTTTTGATTCAATTTTATAAATGAAAATGAGTATCCCACATTTTGTTCAGAATTATTACCACCTATATTTTCTTTATTAATTTAATCAATATTTGGTTCGTTAACATCTGGGGCAAGATTCAAAAAGAAAAAAAATGGTAGTTTAATTATAAATCAATATAGAACAATTGAGCTTCATAAGAAAAATGAACAAAGCACTTTGATAGGTACTTAAGAGATACAGAGATTACAACCATTGGGAAGGATCAAGAATGATGCATTTGAAGAAGGCACTTCTAAGGCCCTGGGCATAGTCAGGAAGAGCTGGGTGGCAGCAGAGGTCTAGCTCCTTTGAGCTACACCAAATTGAGCCATGGGGGCGCTTAGGTCCAGAGAAAGCTCTGAATGCCAGTCTGAAGAGAGACACCTTCTTATAAAGGAATAACATCCTATGTCACTTAATCGATTGAACAGTCTTGAATCAATTCCCTTCTTTCTTTGGGTCAAGCCTCTAATAACCTTCCTTCACTGATTATTTAAATCTGTTTCCAAATGAACTTAGGACATAGGCACATCTGACATGACTTCTTGGGTGCAAAAAGTCAACCTCAAAGATAAAACTCTACAACTTCATGCTGAGAAGACTTTCCAAGGTCTTGCATTAGGCTCACATTCAACCTACATTCTCCATAGCTCTACCTAAGACTTCAGGGATCTCATATTATTCCTCTACAAGAACCTCATGCTCCTGTGGCTCCAGAATATATTACCAGAAAAATCTAGGACTAGAGGGTAGATGGGAGAAGTACATTTACATCGAAGGTCAAATTTATATCCAGAGTCAAATCCATTTAGGCCAGAGCATTAGGGGCACCTTAATAGCAGTATGATTAGGGCAGCAGAATGGAACACACCTAGGACCTAATGAATGACATATCTAAGTTCTACCCCCTCCCGTGAGTTAACATTTAGTCAAATCTTTTTATATACATTTTTAATAATCATCACTTATTCCTATCATAAAGTAGTTAGGAGCTATGTGGTTCATACATATTGTAAGGGCTTTTAAGAATTTATTTTAATTAGCTTAAAGCTCAATCAAATTGATCAAATGTATGTAAAGAGAAAAATTAACAAATTATATCAAAGAATAAAGCATGCCACAATACTTATATCGATAGTTGTCTATATAGATAAATAAATTTTATAATCCAACTCTAACTTAAAACATCTAAGAAGAAAATGCACAGATACCTACTAGATATGTAAGCACTAGATGTGCTTTGCATCTGATTTTTTTTTTCTCACAATATTGACTGTTTTTTTTTTTATCAACATTATCTTATAAAATCCACCTCGGAAAGAAGAGAATGTATGTGTAAGCAGCTGGCCTGGCCGGGATTAGAGGTTTAATTGGAGGATGTGAACAAGAAAAAAATCTCGTTCACTAGAGGAACAAATCCACAGCGTTGGCTTTATCGCCACAGAGTTCTAACCACATAGGCAATGGGTGAAATCACCGCTGATGGGGTTGTCTTGCAAACTATCAATTCAAGTATGGTCTCAACTTTTCCTTTTATCACTGCCTACATTTTGGGCAGCACACATCTTCAGAAAATATAAAGGATAGAATTAAAAGATATTGATTTAATGAATTTTTCATTATTTCTCAAATTAGCATTGAAAGCAGTATCAAACAAGTAAATGCTATTTAACTGCTTAGATTACTGCTTAGATTTAACTGCTTTGTTTATGTATTGTTTTTTTCTATTGGCTGCTTTGCAGTTTTGCATGAAACCTATTAGGCTTTAAGGACAGGAAAAAAGATTGGCATTATCTCTTACCAGACCCATGAGAAGGCCAAAAATCAAGGTGGCTATGACGAAAATGACATAAGAACACCAAGCAGGCATTCCAAGGGTCACTGTGAAATAGTTGTGAAGATGCTGTAATCAAAAGAAAAATTATTTATAATTAGGACAAAAAATGTTTAAATCTATCTTTCCAGCTATAATTCAAGTCTGCAAACTGTTTCCACATAGAGGAGCTCCACAAAGGTCATCCAGTGGTTTATGCATATGCGATTCCTTAGAACAAGTCAAGCTTTACAATATCAGCAATCTGAGAGTATGCTCAAGTTATATCTGGTAAGAGTTATTGTTCTTTGGGGTTCATGATCTGATAGAACTCTGATAGAATTGTTTTTCTAGTCCCTTCTTCTACAATGACAGATTTTTTTGGTCACTCTCTGCTAATAATAATATATACCTCAATATTTACTTGTAATATGGAATCCATAGAAATTAAACTTCTTGGGCCTTGATCAATTGTTAAGAACTAAATACTTAGAAAACATTCATTTTAAATGTATCCATACTTCCTCCTTCTAGTCAGACTCTCATTTCTCTACCTCTACCCATCCTTAGCAACATTTCTAAATCACCATAAAACCTAAAATATAATATTAGACAGAAGAAGGTCTTTTCAGTTCATTCATTATGAGGAAATGAGATTTCATGAGGCTTTGAGTAGAGAGTGCACATCCTTTATTTTTACTATTCCCCAGAACTCTGTTTAATACCCAATAATAAAAAGAGAGAGAGCAAGAGAGAGAGTGAGAAAGAGATACAATCTGAAGTGGAAATTATTTCCATGCTAAAATCACACAGCAATTACAGAAATGAACTGGTAGTTTGGAATCAATGCCTACTTAGATGGGGACTTGTAGGAGCCATGCTTCCTCATGAAGATTTAGTGATTATAGGTTTCAGGCCATTACAGCTTCAAGAACAGCCATTCATAATGTACTGGGCACACAGTAAAATGTCTCCAAGCTAAATGTCATCAGCCGGCAGAGATAACAAGTGAATGACTAGCCTAGAACATCTAGAAATGAGTCCAAGTTTCCATTTTAATGCAGTATTTCTCAAAATCTAAATTACTCAGCTAGGTTTCTCAGCTTATAAATGTCAACACAATTAAATAATATACTTTACTTTGGCTTAAATCTGAATGATCAATAAACAAAAAAGTTTGTTCAATTAATCTAGAATAATCTGAGATCTCTTCTATCCAATCTCTTATTCAACTGAAGAGACAGATATAAAGACTCAGCAAGTACTTTAAACACTGACCCTTATAAAAAATATTTGTTAATTTAAATGTACTGGCAATCTTTAAACTATTCATAGCAATTGCAAATAATCTGAATTTGTAACATTGTCATCTATAACTGTGTTGTCTACACTGATCATTATTCTTTCTTCAGCCAAGGCAATTGTTTATTGAGAATAATCCAGCATTCTGGAATCCAGCAGGCAAAAGAAGTATTGGGATTTCAAATGTTGTTTCAGTCAAATCCTTTTCAATGGAAGTTCTAAATACTACACAGGTTCCTACTTTAAAAAATTCTCTGTACTTAACATAGTTAATGCTTTGCTTGGTGACTCAGTGAGGTGATCAGGATTAATCCCTGAAATGTGCCAAAGCATTAGAAGATAGAGAAAGCCAGTCTGCCTTTGAGCTGACCTATAGACATAAGTATTCAGGAACTTGCTCTATAAAAAATATCTGCCCATTTGCCTTACTCATATGGTTGAAATGAGTAATGTGCAGTTATAAATCCTTCTAGACAGCATCATATGCCCTTTCTGCAAAATAAATGATTAAAGTAACCCTCAGAACCTTTCTATTTTCTAGAATGCAGTAAATCATCTGCCTTTGTGTCATATCACTGCATTCTGAGTCACACATTTCTTAGCACATTCAAAATACCTGCTTATTTTAATAAGATCCACTTCAGAGCTCCACTTCAGTTTTCTTCTACCTGATGATACTTTGGAGGATTTATGTGAGCTTCTTAGAGAAATCCTGACAGAGCGCTGGTAGAATGTGGTCTTATAGGTGATTACTTCTAAAGTCTCATTAATCAAGTTTTGTTTTCACAGCTGCAGACATAAACCTTTATCTGTTTATCTGACACCACAATGGTTTTAGAGCACCTGAGTGTTAAGGTACTTGATTCTAGTTTCTTGAAATTTTTATATATATACTAGAGCCCCAGTGCACAAATTCATGCACCAGTGGGGTCCCTCGGCCTGGCCTGCAGGATTGGACCAAAACTGGCTCTCCAATGTCCCCTGAGGGGTCCCAGATTGTGAGAGGATGCAGGCTAGGCCGAGGGACCCCACTTGTTCATGATCAGGGCTGGAGGGACATACGAAAGCTCCAGGGCATGTCCGGCGCATCTCACCCAGTCCCAATAGGCCAGACCCCAATAGCACGCTAACCTACTAGTTGGAACATCTGCCCAACTAGTGGTCAGTGCATGTCATAGCGAGTGGTCAAACAGTTGACTGTCTGCCCTCTGGTGGTGAGTGCACATCATAGTGAGCAGTTAAGCACCCTTAGCATATCATCAGCATATTATGCTTTGATTGGTTGAACAGCCGACTAGGTGAATGGGCACTTAGCATATTAGGCTTTTATCATACAGGACGTTTCCAGAGAATTAGTGATTAAAATTTATCAAATTCAGCCGAAACCGGTTTGGCTCAATGGATAGAGCGTCGGCTTGGGGACTGAAGGACCCGGGTTCGATTCCGGTCAAGGGCATGTACCTTGGTTGTGGGCATATCCCCAGTGGGGGGTGTGCAAGAGGCAGCTGGTCGATGACTCTCTCTCATCGATGTTTCTAACTCTCTATCTCTCTCCCTTCCTCTCTGTACAAAATCAATAAAATATATTTAAAAAAAAAAAAAAAAAAAAAAAAAAAAATTTATCAAATTCAGGTCCAAATTTCTGTGTTTCTGTTTCTATAACTGCCTGACAATGACAGTTTTCACCTGAGGAAAATACTGATGATTCTTGTGTGGGTTCATTACTAGGAAGCATTCTACTGTTTCCTTAAAATAGTTTTGTTGCCTGATGGGCCTGACATCTTATTATTGATGACTGATTTAGAGCCAATTTTGGGTTACATACAGTTTTGAGTAAGAAGACTGAATGAAGATACCATTAGAAGTAAAATATATAAAAACATTCCAACCAGTGGCCAGATGAATTTAAGCAATGGAGCCAGGACAACACATTTACAGATCAGAGCAGAGCCCTTCTTTCCCAAGGAGGCCAGCACTCCCTCTAGGACTGAAGTACTGCAGCTGAGATCGGATGCTGCCCTCAACATATCTCGATGTGCATGAGAAACAGAGAGTCTTCTTGAGCTCCTTGAATATTAAGTTCTAAAAGTGACACCGAGATCTACACAAAGCTTAGAAAGACAAATATAGGAACTCACTTTGAAGACTTAGAATACTTTAAGAATATATAATATATAATTCCAGAGCAATTGTGCTAAATCTGGCAGGATTTAGCTCACTCTACACATAAAGGGGAGCACAAGGTTTTGTGACACATTCAAAATTACATAATTGCCCAAAGTTTTAACTAAATAATAGTTTGAATTCACTGAAATGACAGTGAAATGACACAATCACATATAGCAAGAGTGTCAAAACTTTTTCCTGAAGGGGCAGAGAGCAAATATTTTAGGCTTGTGGTCTTATTAAGCCACATGGTCTCTTTCACAGCTACTCAACTTTCCCACTGTAGAGTGAAACCACCAGATAATGAATGAACATGGCTATGTTTCAAAAACAGGTGGCTAGCCAAGCTATAGTTTGCTGATTGCTGGCATACAAATTCACTCTTCCATCTACAGGAGATTATGACAATGGGAATCTAAAATGAAGTAAAATCACATAAGCCTGATTCACCTTTAATAAAGAGATTCAACTCTGATCTAAGAAAGTATGACTTTGACACAACTGTGTCATTGTTCAATTTATGCCTTTCTACACAAAGACACAGTTCCATTGGGGATTCTTGTAACAGTAGCTGTATGGCTAAACAAGAAAAGTGAAATTATAAAAGTATTCACAATGTTTATTTTCCTATGAGTTAAAAATTATATTCTTACTCTTTAAAAAACCCTCTGCAAAGATAATCACAAAGGGTGTATTTAAAATTACTTACCCATATCTTGCCAGAGATGCTAAAAAGGCCAGCCATTCCAGACATCCTAAAAAATAGAGAGAAGGAGAACCATTGGTGATGCATACTATGAAAAAAACAAAAACTCAGGTCACAAGGATCTGCCCTTCCATTCTCTGCAATACATTGCCCTCTCTCCTGGATTTACTTGTGTTCGTATAGAGCTTCAGCTCCACAGCCACCATTTCAGTCACTGCTGTAAATACATTCAAATCCCCTGGCCCCTTCTCCCTTCACTGTACACACCTGGCAAAACCCCAACTGTGGGCAGTTGCCTGTCTCTGGGGAAAATCAGCTGGCTGTTCCCCCTCCAGTCACAAACCTGTTTGTGCCTCAGTACTGCACTGTCAGGCTCTACCCGACAGGGCAGCTCCTGTGCTTTTCCCTTTCTTCACACCCTTCCACGCTCCTCTCCCCGGGCACTCTCAGCTCACAGACACTCCTCACATGTCATTGCGAAACCAGAAGCCATTATGTGATCTCTCTCTTATCTTCTCACCATCCAATCTGAGCCTGCATGCACCTTCTCTTGTTTCCACAGAGAAAGTCTGTCTGCCCTCCCACAGTCTAATTCCTCCTCGTGGGCCTTGCATCCCATCCCTTTGGCTGAGTAATGTCTTGGCTCTTTTTGTCAGCCCCTCTGCCTGCATTAGCAATTTCTTCCTTTCTGCTGGGTCATTCTCATCTGCCTGAAAACATGCTCTACTCTCTCCATCTTTTATAAAGAGAATCCTTGGACCCTCCAGCTTCTCTTTTCCAAGGAGTAATCCACACTTGCTGTTTCTTCCTCCTTACTGTACCTTTAACCCATTCAAATCTGCTCCTGTCCTCACTACTGCAGTACCACTAGTTGTGAAAGCCACAATGACCCTGCAATTGCTTCATTCAACGTCCATGTCTCAGACTTGATCTTCTTTCAAGTCTTGGTAACACAGGGCACAGTGCCTACTCTACACTCTTGAGCACCTAATTTACTTGGCTTCCAGGAAACAACATACCCTGCTTGTCCTCCTGACTCACTAGCACTCATTTTTAGTTTCTTGACTCCTTTTGCTGACTCCTTCTCGATCAAACTTCTGTGGGTGTCTTGTGGCTAGGTCCCAATCACTCTTCTCTCTTTAGGTGATCGCCTCCCTCCCAAGCAAGGCTTTAAATACATACCATCTGTATGTTTTGTATTTATGCTCCTGAATTCTCCAAGGACCCATCTCCATACATCCAACTTGACAGCTCTTACAAAGAAACTTGCACCTCAAACTTAACACAGTTAACACTGAACACTTGCTTTTCTCTTGCTCAAACCAATAAGATTCAAACCAGAAACCCAAGAGATTTTTTGTGAATCTTCCCTCTCCTTCACCTTCGCCAAGTCTACCTGCAAAGTATTTTAAATCCACCCATTCTCTCCATCCCACTGCTGCCACCCTGCTAAACACTAGCACCATCCTTAGGCTAGACAGGGCAACAGCCTCCTAGCTGTCTGACCTCATCCATTCTTGCCCTCCCCAGTCTCTTCTCTGAAGAGCCACCTTGTCATTGCTTGCACCGATAGCATCCAGGTTCCTCAATGTGGTCAAAGGCCTGCATGAGCTGGCTTCTGCCTGCTCTTTCTCGTCTTATGTGTATATAACTACTCTCCCCAACAGTCACCGTCTCGACCCCGGCACCTTTCTGCTCTCAGCATACCACGTTCTTCCAAATTGGGGCCTAGCACCATGTCACACCCGTTCGTTTCTGGGAATGCTCCTCCCTTGCTCTTCACCCAGCTCGGTTGTTCTGTCCTTCAAGTGTCACTTTATTCCTCCTCTCAGAGCGACCTCTCCTAGTCTCTCATCCAGCAGAGGTCCCTGACCCACAGTGATTCCTTGCCTTAGTAAAAGTTGTTTTTGTTTGCTTGTTTTGTTTTAAACAGCCTTAAGATTCTTTATATCCCTGGGGTTTTTTTCTCGCTGTGTTTTACTTTCAGTTGCCTGAGGGGAACAAAGGTGCATGCCCATCTTTTTCACTTTTGAATATCTAGCACCTGGAACAGTATCTGGCATAAACTCATCTCCAATATTGGTAGAATGAAAGCTGCTTTTATGGCAGACTAAGATACGTATTTACTGAGTATTATTTAAGTGCTATTTATGTGATGTATTTCTAAAATATTACATCATTTAATCTTTTTTTCAGCAGGAATATTCCTTATACATGTACATACTAACAAAATTAATTACAAATATGATAAGTCATTCAAAATTAAAACAAACTATGGGAAAAGTTATTATGGGTTTGCCCTATCTATCTCACCAATTATCATGCAGTTCGCCCTCAGGGCCGTAAGTTACCCAGTAATATTCCTCGAGGCAGTTAAAGACACCATCGGTTTTATTTTCCACATTGATACAAGAGTAATTCCTTCATAAACTGTAATTCAAGAAAGAGTCACTCCCATATCTTATCAATATTTTAAAAGGAAGAAAGAATGGTAACTACGTTCAATACCATATTTTGTAAAGAGAAAATAGTTGGCCCTCACCGGTTTGGCTCAACAGATAGAGCATTGGCCTGCAGACTGAGGGGTCCTAGATTCGTTCCAGTCAAAGGCATGTACATTGGTTGTGGGCACATCCCCAGTAGGGGGTGTGCAGGAAGAGCTGATGGGTGTTTCTTTCTCATAAGAGATGCTTCTTATTCTCTATCCCTTTCCCTTTATCTCTGTGAAAAATCAATAATTTTTTTTTTTTTTTTTAAAGAGAAAGAAAACATGCCAAGACCGGTTTGGCTCAATGGATAGAGCGTCGGCTTGGGGACTGAAGGGTCCCGGGTTCGATTCCGGTCAAGGGCATGTACCTTGGTTGGTGGCATATCCCCAGTGGGGGGGTGTGCAAGAGGCAGCTGATCGATGATTCTCTCTCATCGATGTTTCTAACTCTCTATCTCCCCTTCCTCTCTGTAAAAAAATCGATAAAATATATTTTTTTAAAAAAGAGAGAGAGAGAGAGAGAGAAAACAGTTGACATGCTTAGTGAAAAAGTTAGGGTGACTTTCTGCAACCCACCTGAAACTGGACAGTTACTCCCCAGTATACTAACAACTAACTGAAACACCTGTGGGCCATAAAACCCAAAACACAACATGGTCTAAGCATGGTCATATGTAGCCTGGGTAACCAGAAGTGAATATGAAGAAAAACGTAGACTTTCAAGGTCTATGAACTATTCATTTGATGCCGCTTGTGTCATTAATAAGACTCCATTAAATAAAATTGCTAGTTACGTTAAAGAAGCCGGGTATTTCCAGCCAGTCAGAGGCTCAACTGATTGCCACTTCTTCTCTAAGATATAATTCTGCAGTTCTTTGTAGATTCCTGAGCCACGGTAACGACGGAATATCCCATCCTTTGCACTATAAATTATAAAAACAAATAGAAAACCAAGAAATTAAAATCATAAGTGTTGCAGATAATCAAAATAACTATTGGTTTTACATATGAACTACTCTGAATGTTAACTTGGCTTAAATAAAGAAAAAATTATAACTAGGTATAAATACGAAAGCATGCATAAGTATTAATCTATTACAAATGAGAAATTGAGAAACATTCTAATTTATCACTGCAAAATTCATGAGCATAAACAAAGTTCTTACCAAATTACTTTTTATTATTTTTGCCACCAAGTATTTCAATGTTTCTCTTATAACAGCAAAACAGCAGATGTTATTAAATTTTAAAAACTGTATCTACATTTCCAACTTTTGTCATGTAAGTCCCTCCTTGAAAATGAACAAAACACCTCCCTTTCACATACCACTTCAGGCTTCCTCGCTCCTGCTTTCTCCCCAGTCAAGCTTCCTAAGAGCAGAGTCTACACTCACCACTTGCTCCTCAAATATTACTCATTCACAATCCGAGCGACTTAAGGTTATGCTTCATGAGTCCATGGAAACTGTTCATATAGGGGAGAGTTCACCTCCAGGCAGCACTTTCCTTTTGTCTGGCTCTGGCCCTCCCCACTACTGAACACGCCCCCGCTCCCTCTCTCCCTTGGCTTTTGAGCTCTCAGGACTTCTTCCTCCTATTCTGACCACTCCTCCTCGTTCCTTACTCCCTGCCCTAAGGCTAGTCAACCCCAAGTTTTATCCATGACCTACTTCTATTCCTGTGGCATACATTCTCTCTAAATATATTTTAACTCTTATCTTGATTCTGAGAAATTCCCAATATGTATCTCCAATCTTTCTTTTGAGCTTTAGATCCTCAAATCAGACTATCACCTAAACTTTTCTATATGAAATTAGCATAGTCATTTCACACTATCTTCCCCATCTAGGCCTCTATCCTCCAAATCTCATCTTATGCTAATAGCTCCTCAATAGCTGTTACTAGAGACACATGGCCTATTTGTAGTCATCTCAGGTTTTCCTTCCTTATGGCTAATTGGCCATCAAGTCTCAATGATCCCACCTCCTAAGCATCTCCAGAACCCATCCCTTCCTTTCTCTTCCCCCTCTCACTACCTGAGCCTCCCTAACTTCAATCACCCAGGATGATCCAAATATGCCCTCCGGGCCAGCCATACAGAACTCATTATAGTTCTCAGAAGGTAGCACATTTTCTTCTGGGCTTTTCCATGGCATCTCTACCTGGAAAGGCCTACTCTACCGTGTTTATTTAACCAACTCTGACTTATCCTTTAAGAATCATCCCACCTTTTATGTCATCAGAAAGATCTTCTTTTGACCCCTCCACTCCCAATCAGCTGCTAATAGCTATCATTCTCACAGAGCTGTCTCTCTCTTCCAAATGTTCAGCTAAATGTGTAAAGGTTATGGAAAACAACTTAGAATTCTTGGTACACATCTACGGATTTATAATATTTACCAGTCCAGATAAATATTTCAACTTACTGAAAAAATGTTGGGAGAGTGGTGACAAAGAAGCGGCCACTCAAACCTACAAGAAGCATAAACAAAAAAAGTTACAAGTCAAACTCCCACTAACCCAAGCATCTAACTTAATTTTTAAGAACAAGCAACCTAAGCTGGCTTGTATATATCAGAGACGAATGGAGAGGGAGACAGAGATAGAAACATTAATGATGAGAAATAATGATCGGCTGCTTCCTGCATGCTCCACATTGGGGCTTGAGCCGCAGCCTTGGCATGTGCCCTGACCAGGAACTGAACCATGACCTCCTGGTTCATAGGTCAATGCTCAACTACCACTGAGCCATGCTGGCCAGATGAGCTTGCTTTTATACCACAGAATTAAATCACGTATACTATTTAGTTTTTTACTTGAAATTTTAATTTTTACCCATTTTCGTTACCTAATACTTTCCAGTCAGTGACATACAGCTTGATTATTCTGATGTTACATAGGACTTTTCTGGCTTGTGCATCACTTAGAATTTTATGGTGGCTGATAGAACAGGTTATAGTCATGTAGTTACTATATGACCTTAGATAAATTACTTAACCTTTCTCACCTTAATTTACCCTTTCTAGTCTAGTGACCTCATCTAGAAAATGTGTATATTAAAGCCTAACTGAATTGTTCTTAAGTTAGACTAGCTCAGTATATTAAGTAGTTAGCACATAGTAAAGAACTAATTCAATAAATTATAGGTATTATTAGATCCGATGTAGGTTTTTATTATTTTTAAAATAATAAAGAATCTGAAACAATAATATCATGTATAATCTTTGCACATTTATAAAATTTGCAAGTACTGTTCAAGGACAGTACATTAAACAGATTTTCTCAAATTTTCAGTAAAGCAAATCTTTACCGGACACTAACTAGACATCAAATGCTATTCGAAGTGTATGTGAAGACAAATAAAACCCTTAGTAAGTCAGCAAATATTTACTAATTACCTTCTTTGTTCCAGGGACTGTCATAGCTGCTCAAGACACTAAGATAAGTAAAAACATGTCCAGTCTTGGTTCTCACAGAACTTACAGTCTGTTTAGTGGCAGAGGGAAAGACCTTAATACTTACAATCATAACTGTAAACAGATAGGTGATATCAAGAAAGGGACACGCAACCAAAGCCTGAAGGAGACTAGGAATAAAGGACAAATCCCTGCTCTTTATATGTTTACAAACAAAAGTATTTCCATGGGTACCAAGAATGAGCACGACTGCTCCTGGCTAAGAGAAGGAGAGAGAAAGGATGTTCCTGGCCAGCATGGGGAAATGACAGAGATATCATTGTCACATTTCTCATCACTTCTGACTTTCCCACTGAAGAACAATTTGGACAAAATCAAAATCTATTCAGATAAAGTAGATCAAATGTCACATCTTCGTGGTTGTTTGCGATTTGAAATGCTGAAGGTTTACTTTCAATAACACACAAAAGTTGCTTATACCCATTTTATAAATTAAGTTTTATTCAGCAAAATAATATATTAATTAGTGATGAGACTTTCCAAAGAAGAAATTGCTTTTTTTTTCTTTCTCATATCAAACCACGCAGACTCTAAAATAGCCCTATGGCCCTTAAGAGAAAACACAGTACTATGAAGGCAGTAAAAGTCAATGTTACAAAAAGAAACATTTACTACGTACCATTTGCCATTGTACATCTTTTGTAACGGTTGTACTGGCAGTAACAAAACCACAAGTGACCTGAGAAGTCAACTGAGATTGTTAACAAGCACCTCTGTCTGCAGGGCATTTTCACCTCAAACACTGCTTGGAATTCCACCCACGCAGGGAACATGGGTATCTTTTCATTTATTTTCAATTCTAAACTGCCAGGGGGAAAAGTGTCCTAAAGGCTTAAAAATCCCTACCTGCTTGCCCTTTTTACTCTAAGTGTCAACTACCATCTTAAAATGATGACTATATTGCAACCTAAAAGAGGCATTAATCCAAAATGCAGAAAAATCTTTTATTAGCAACTTTATCTTAAACATATATAGCAAATGAAAAGGAAGTGTTAAAAGATTAGAGAGAAAATTATGATAGGGAACTATATTTTGATAGGTCAAAGAACAAACAGAAATTACTTGAGTTCTAGATGAAGAAAATAGGGATAGCTACTAGCTTGTCCTTCACCATTTATTAGCTGTTTTACCTTGGACATGTGACTTAACCTCTCTGAGCCTTAGTTTTCTAAAGAATACAGAGAGAAACAGTTTGTTCTTTCTGGGACTGTTATGAAACTGAAATATATAAAATGCTTAACACACTTAGAGGCTGAAGTAAATGTTTAACTAAGTATTAATTAGCACTAAAGAAAGAAGCAAAGGGAAAGCAATGAACAAAAAGTAGATCAAACCTTACCTTTAAGATTGAAATAAAGTGGGCAATAAATAAAATAAAAGTCAGTTTTATAGTTATAAAATTAAAATATTAACACTAACTGAAGTGCAATAAACTAAACTGGCTTCTGAAATTAATTAATGGTTTTGATCACAAAGCTTACTCCCTCTTGGCTGTTGTGGGGATCCGATTTACCTCTGATCTAGTGAAATAGCCATCAGCCATGGGTGCTCTATGAGCAGCTGCTATTTTCCTATCTTGACAACTAATCTCATCTGCATGAAACAGAAGATTCAAGTATATATTCATACTTATTAAATTTAATTTCCCAAAGTCAGCAACTGAAACATCATCTGGTCTATGCAATGTTAAACAGGCAATGCAATGTTGTCTAACCTAAGGTCTGTCCTTCCCTTGACTTCTACAGCTCAACTGTACAAATATAATGTATTTATAATCCCCAGTCTTTATAATTCTGAAATCCTAAAAAAAAAAAATTATTATTAAATATACCAATGGAATAGTTACAGAAATAACTAAAGAATTATTGATAAGTACTTCAAAACTTCTTTCTTTCCCTTCTTTTTAAATTTTGCAGAGAAAAGAAATGAAATTATCCCTTACTAGCAGCCCTGATGAAAGAATATACTAATAGAGACCTATAACCAAATATAAATCTGTACATAGAAATATCCATTAAAGTGCTCAACTGTGAGGAAAATGGTAATATTTCAATGACTTCCCACTGTTGGTCCCGGACGTTAGATTCTGTAAAAATAAAGTAAATACTCAAATAGCTTCCAAAAATAGGAACAAATACCCAAGAAGCTTGCCAGTGAATACTACATAAGACCAAAGACCTTTTGTACCTTCTTATTTGATAAGTACTTCAAATATATGTTACTTATATTTACATAAATAGCATGAGTCAATAATAAATTTGTCTTTAAAATATTTTATCATATTCTCTGTTACCTCATTATAAAAAATGCACAAATCAATCCACAGTAGAAAAAAATAAGTCAACATTTTAAATGAAAAGACTACATTCAATTAGATTTTAGATTTGTGAATCCATCACAAAGCTGTTAAATTCTTTTATTTCAAATCATGTGAGTTCACAGCAGGTATACCAAATGACTTAAATACATATAGGCCAGCTGTGTTTTCAAGAAACTCCTCAAAAAATGTGTCTGATGCCCTCTAATGAATAAGACTTACACCTGACTTCTGAAATCAAACTACTAAAAGATGAAAACAAGTGTACAGCAAAAGTATAATTACAATGATTTGACCTCTAAACAGAATAACTCATTATAATAGCCAAAACGAATAACTATAATTTTCCATTCTAAATAGCATATGTGCAAAAATGGCTTTGATTCCAATGATTACAAAGGTGTATGGACGCCTGAGGACTAACAGTTTTTAATAGAAACCTCTCTATATGGGTTTGCCAACACAAGGATCTTAACAGACATGGTCAATTTTATTGTTCAAGTAACTACTAATTCAGTACTCTGTCTTTTTTTTAATTCTTTATTGTTTAAAGTATTACATGTGTCTCCTTTTCCCCCCATTGACCTCTTCCTACCCACTCCCACCCCCAGCACAGGCCCTCAATCCCCTACTGTCTGTGTCCAGTGGTTATGCTTATATGCATGCAGACAAGTCCTTTGGTTGATCTCTCACCTCCCCACCTTTACTCGCCCTCTAAGGTCTTTTTTGAACTCACAATTATTACAGAAAGATAACAGCTACATTTCCAAACCTACTTTCTTTTTATCCTTGTAAAGGAACACAATAGAAAATAAATGTAAGTAGGAAAAAATGCCTAATAAGTTTGAAAATAGTCACATTTGAAACTAGAATCATAAACACCCAACTTTAACTTTTACTTACAGTTATTTTTAAACTACAAATATAAATTTTGTATATTTTTTAAGAATTTAAAAGATTCCTCTAGCCTCCTCCTCTTTCTTCTGAAAATTACACCATTTAACATATAATAAATATAGCTGTCACAACAGAATTAGAAATTCATCATTCTGGAACTCACAATGAAATATTTGATTCAGGTAAGATCATTATGTATCTTAAGACCCCAAAGTATCACCTCACATATTACCTGCTAATCACAAAGTGGGATATTTTCTTTATAATTGAGATATTTAGTGTCATCACCTTAACCAAGTGCTTAAACTGAACATCACTAACTGAGAGTACATGTCTTCTGATGGCATCTGCATATATAAAAGGTTAAGCAACCATCCAACTCGCCAACCAGCCAGTATTATGACAAGCACTGACCTCTAGGGGGCAGATGCTCAACGCAGGAGCAGCTGAGCTGCCAGTGACTTGGCAGCAGAGGTTCTTGGGTGACACACCCTGGAACCAGAGAGGAGGGAGCCCAATCCCTGCAGGCCAGGTCAAGGGACCCCACCTGCTGGAGAGATCCCACCCACTCCACAGACACTCTTCGAGCCCTGGTGCAGCCCCAGGTGCAGCTGGCTGGAGAGGGACTGCAGGAGGTTGGCTCCAGGGCATGTCCAGCCTGTCTTTCTGCCCAGTCCCGCCCCACAGGCCACCTTCTAATTCAATCCCTTTCATTGTGCACAAATCCATGCACTCAGCCTCTAGTAAGTTATAAAGCACAGTATCACCTATGAAATATTCTTGCCATACATGTCCAACCTGAATCATGCCTCTAGGCTGAACTTCAAGTTTACAGAAAATATAAGAAAACACCTAGGCATACCTCTGGCCTATTCTTTTCAGAATATCAGAGGACTATTCTAACTAAGGGCGACTGAAAACATGTAACAACTAAATGCAAATGGTGAACCTTGATTAGATCCTAGGTCCAAAAACTATAAAAAGACATGTGGGAAATTATTAAGGAGATTTTAATATGCCAAAGTATTGAAGGTAAAATCATGATGTCTGCGACTTATTTTCAAATAACTCAGCAAAAGAAAATAATAAAAAATATATTAACAGCCGAAACCGGTTTGGCTCAGTGGTAGAGCGTCTGTCTGTGGACTGAAAGGTCCCAGGTTCGATTCCAGTCAAGGGCATGTATCTTGGTTGCGAGCATGTCCCCAGTGGGGGTGTGCAAGAGGCAGCTGATTGATGATTCTCTCTCATCTATGTTTCTAACTCTATCCCTCTCTCTTCCTCTCTGTAAAAAAAAAAAAAAAAATCAATAAAAGTATATTAACATATATGTGTAAACACACACATACATAGACAGACCCAGATATGCCAAAATGTTATCTGTTGATTCTAGATGGTCAGTTCATGAGTATCACAACTTTTCTATATACTTGAAAAAAATTCAAACTAAAAAGTAACAAACTTTTGCCTTTAATGTTCAGCATTTACAGTACCTGGTTCTTGAATGACATCGACCTTCCCCACACTGATATGAAGGAGTTCCCCATTCTTTGCAAATGTCTCCCATTCCGAATCAGTCTGCTGGCAGGATGGACACCAAGGGGCATAACTATAAAAGAAGAATAGCTAATCAATATAAAAACATGGAAAATATCTGTGAAACAAAATAAACTACCTAAGTTAAAAAGGTAAATATCTGTCTAAAAGGAAGCACAAAAGCAAGCTTTTCCAGTGATTTGATATAGAAAAACAAAAACATATTTCCCTAGAATTTAATGCATGAATATTAATTCACTGGGAAGAAATTAGCCAAAGTTTGAGAAGATTTTCACAAACTACCATAATACATAAAATATTTTATTTCAAAGTTTTTCTTACAATCAACCCAAATTTTGTCACTTTCTAGGTAGCTTCTGATTTTTTTAGGGAGAATACTATATTGACTGCCCCACTAAAGGACAACTTTCACAAGTGCATCCCTAAACTAGCGAAACCAGTTACAGGTCCATCAAAACTACAGAGCTGATGAGCAGAAATCAGAACATGTTACTAGTGGGTTCCCAAATATTTATGCGAGTCATTTCCAAAGATCTGCGGCAGTTCTGAACCACCCCAAGAAAGAAAGTAGAGGCTATGGGCTAAACGAGTTTTACTCTTCTTAAATAGAAGAGGAGTTAGAAATAAGTGGGACTTCAATCAGAACCTTGGTTTTTACATTTTTTTTTTTATTTTATTCCATAAACCTGATTTGCACACAATACTGAAGTTGAGGCTACAACTGTGAACAAGACAGATGTGGTACGGCCTCCCTCTCCTTGTAGATACAATCCAGAGGTGTACACTGGCAATGGCAAGCACAGGGATAATTAAACCTGGTGGCAAATGCCATGACTGAGAGTATGGAACAGAGGCTTGTAGACACTCAGGAGCTGGGTGGTCTCAGAAGGGCCCACAGAGGAGCATGTATCTATGCTAAGTTCTGAAGTAGGAGGGTAAGCCCAGAGGGGTCGAAGAATATTCTCTTCTAAGTAAAGAGAACAATGTGTATAAAGTTCAGAGTAATGAGAGCGAGGGTGAAGACATCATTCACAACCTTTGAAAACACTGTATAAAGAGTTAGGACTGTATTTGAAGCTCCATTGTAAACCCTAAAGAGTAAGAGAATTATGATCAGACTTATTTTTTTTTTTTAAATAACTGGGAAAATATCACAACATTCACACCACAAAGCTCTAAAGTGGTCCAGGATTTCACCTACAGATATAAAATGGAAATCCAGAGGAGTGTGCTATTTAGAAAGTATAGTGGATCGAATAGTACCCTCTAAGTACCAGGGAACATCACCTAATTCAGCTTAGGAGATGAGGGCATGGGCCAAGTGTGGGTCAAGGAGCAAGAGAGAAACAAGGGGCCAATAAGGAAGCAAGAGAGAAAGAACGCTTTGTCTGGGACTTTCAACTTCCAGGATCCCATGCACTTGCAGTGGCTCCACCCTTCTAGTCAAATCACTGTTTCCAGGCGAGGCTGCTGGGCAAGGACCTTCTCGAAGGTCACATGGGCTTCACTGCACATATGCCCACCTCCCCCCAGGGATGTGCAGGGAATGGATCCACTTTACCGGGAGCTTAAAGTGGGAGCTGCCCAGATGTACATGCTTATAAAGTCTGGTCTCCCCTTTGCTCTCTTCCTATTATTAATACAATAAACTAGCTAATTACAAGGTTACATTTGGGCAGGGTGATAATCACTCTATGCCTCAGTTTCTTCAACTGTAAAATGAAATAACAGCTGTCTTTTAAGGTCATTGGGAGATTAGATGACACATATAAAGCAGGCACATATCAAGAACAATCATTAATACAAAATACGTTTGTAATATACTACTTGTTTCTAATTTTCATAAAATTCAACCAAGTAAATTTAGAGATCTGCTTTGCTATATTAAGCTATTCATGAATTGGGCAGCACCCCATCTACCAACAAGAAGGGTGCTCTGGCCAGGACCGGTTTGGCTCAGTGGATAGAGCATAGGCCTGCGGACTGAAAGGTTCCAGGTTCGATTCCGGTCAAGGGCATGTACCTTGGTTGCGGGCACATCCCCAGTAGGGGGTGTGCAAGAGGCAGCTGGTCTATGTTTCTCTCTCATCAACATTTCTAACTCTCTGTCCCTCTCAATTCCTTTCTGTGTAAAATCAATAAAATATATTAAAAAAAAAAAAAAAAAAAAAAGAAGGGTGCTCTGTGGGGCTGCACAAAATGAAAGTTTTTATAAAAAGAGTGGGCTAAAGAAGCTATTAAAAGAAAAAGATGGCCGAAACCAGTTTGGCTCAGTGGATAGAGTGTCGGCCTGCAGACCGAAAGGTCCCAGGTTCGATTCCGGTCAAGGGCATGTACCTTGGTTGCGGGCACATCCCCTGTGGGGGGTGTGCAGGAGGCAGCTGGTCGATTTCTCTCTCTCATCGACGTTTCTAGCTCTCTATCTCTCTTCCTTACTCTCTATGAAAAATCAATAAAATATATTTTTTTTAAAAAGAGAAAGAAAAGGATGATTTTTTTAAACCAGGATATCTTTTTAAGAACCTGAGTGAGTTGGAAGGTTTTTAATCATGCAGGTTTTTAATCTTTTTGGAGGGACAGTGCAGGTATCGGACAGATGACCTCCGTACTTGACTAGAAAGTTCCAGACTGGCTGATTGAGATATTGTTTCTGGGAGAGGCTGAAACTTCAATTAGGTCAGGTATTAAAGCTAAGTTGGTATCATGGGCCTTCAGCACCAGTAATGCCACTTTGTTCCTGTGGTTTTCTCTTTAACATTTTCAAGGCATTTTCCTGACACATCAGTTCATCTGAACCTTACAGCATCGCTGTCAGACAAGTTTAGAGAGACTTGTTTAAGGTCACCTAAAACCACACAGAACAAAACCCAGTTGGAGGTATTTATGTGATAAAAATCTCTGAGGAAAATAATGGCTAATATCAACAGAGAGGGAAATGGAAGGGGAGAGGAGGAAAGAGAGAATAGGGGACAGGAAGGGGGACATAGGGAAAGAAAGGAGGAGGAGTGAATGAAGGGGAAAGAGAAAGAATAAAAAATAAGAAAGAAATCTTGAAGTGCAGTTCAATAAACTTTAGATCTCTAGATCCTCTTTGCTTTGTTTCCCTGAATGCTTGCTTTTGCATGTAACTCGTGGACACATTTGCTACCTCAATAATTATTAAATCATGCAAATTTCACCTTTTACAAAGTCCCTAATCTCTAGAGAGGCTACTATATAAATTGTTTCTTTGTTTTTGTAATATTGACTCTCAGATATACAAATGCCATTGAAGTAATTTTAGATATTCCATTTTCTGTGTAGCTTCTACCTACTGGTCTGCAGCACTGTTAATGCCATTCTCTCTGAGATTTCATCTGAGCTGACTGTGTTGGAATCCACCAATATCATTCATTCACCTGGTGTATTCTTTTGGTGGAGATAAGCCAGCTTCAAATCTCAGGTGTAGAAATCTTTTGTTGTAGAAGCGTTTTAAATTATTAGTATTCTTCCATATTTAAAGGAAAGTCATTTAGGCAGAATTAGAACTACTATAAATAAAATAGCTCCAAGGACCAGAGGAAAGTCATGTATGACACGTATGTGACTTTCATGCTCTTCTTTCTCTGTCTCTCTCTATATACACACGTGTATATATGTAATTTATTTATATACATATGCATGAAGAAAACTCATCAGAAAGGACTGAATGCAATAGTCATTTATATTACCTAAAACTAGTTCCAAGTGGCAGTCTTCTCCTAACTATGATAAAGAACAGATTTGTCCAACGTTTTCTTTTATATATAAGAAAAAGAACCTAAGAACTTCTGAGAGAAATTAATACCTTTATATTCATGAAATCTGTAAAAAAGTATCTTTCCTATTTAATTTTTTTGCAGATGACAATGGCATATGAAGTTAGTAAGCTTCATAAAGGCATTTGAAGCATATTCCAGATAGCCAAAACACTGTTAAATTATAATTTGGGCCCTATCCGGTTTGGCTCAATGGAAGGAAGGGTCCTGGGTTCGATTCTGGTCAAGGGCACATGCCTGGATTGTGGACTCGATTCCCCAGTAGGTGGCATGCAGGAAGCAGCCAATCAATGATTCTCTCTATTCATTGATGTTTCAATCTCTCTCCCTCTCCATTCCTTTGTCTGAAATCAATACAAATATGTTTTTAAAAATTATAACTTGGATATCAGTTCACTGTTAATAACCATTTCTGGAAAACAAAATTCAACAACATGCTTTAGTTATCCATATTTATGTACAAATTACATTTAAGTTCTGTTGTATGGAAGAATAGTTGAAAGCCCTCAATTCTTTAACTGCTTAACTCAATTTGGTATGAGATTTCATTAACTGTACTAAACACTCCAGTGAAGGAGTTGCTTAATTTTGGAAAATGTCTTAATGATCCAAGAGTTGTAAATCTGAGATCAACCAAAGAACTTATGTGCATATATGCATAACCCATGGACACAGACAATAGTGATGAAGGCCTGAGGAGGGAATGGGAGTGGGGAGAAAGGGGAAAAAGGGGGGTCATCTATAATACTTTCAATAATAAAGATAATTTTTTAATTGTATGCTCAAATATAATTCTTTAGAAGATCATTTCTGCCAAAACCAGTTTGGCTCAGTGGATAGAGCATCAGTCTGCGGACTGAAAGGTCCCAGGTTTGATTCCGTTCAAGGGCATGTACATTGGTTGCGGGCACATCCCCGGTGGGGGGGTGTGCAGAAGGCAGCTGGTCGATGTTTCTCTCTCATCGATGTTTCTAGCTCTCTATCCCTGTCCCTTCCTCTATGTAAAAAATCAATAAAAAATATTTTTAAAAAAAGATAATTTCTAGGAAATGTTCTCAAAAATGCAGTGGAAAAATAATCATTGACACCTCTATGAAAACCATTACACTTGCAAGAGAAAATTCACTACTTTTACTGGAATTCACTGTTTTTACTTCACTCCAGGAAGGCAGTGACTGGTGCATTGTATGTACCTACAGAGTCATGACAAATCATACATCATAATAAATGTTTATTACATCAATGAATGAACAAA